GCTATCGAGGAGATGCGTGAGGTTACTCATTAGCTGTTCTGTATGCATGGTGCTCAGAAGAAGGCTGTGCTAAAACCCCAGGGAATGGCTCCAGCAGGTTGCAGACAAGCCAAAAGACTTTTCTGCAGCACATGGATTCAGTCAGCCCCTGCACGCTTCCATTGCTCACTCTTGCCTTGTTGCAGCTCAATTGCTTCTCACCCCATTAACCACAAAATTAAGATGACTGAGCTCAGGACATGAGTTGCTGGGGGAGGGAGGGATTAAAAAGTAACTTTTTTTTTTTTTTTTTTTTTTCTTTTTACCCACACCCAGCTGTCAAGTTGCCAGGCTGTTCTCACAGTAGGACTTCCAAGTTTAAAAAGTACTTTGTTTCGCTAATAGCTGGGGAGAGCAACACTCCAGAGGTCCAAGTCTGGCTATCAAAGAGGGATCTTTTTATGGAAAGTATTGTGTGTAAAAGAGAAGATAAAAATAACTGGGTGCATTGCAGGTGAGGGAAGAAAGGCGCTTTCAGTAGAGGTGCAGAGGACCTTTTTTTAAGCAGTCAGCCTGTTTGATGGAGACAAGTGGGAGATGCTCTGAGTACAGGTGAACGCAGCTGTTATGCCAGCAAAATGAAAACCTCCAAAAGTAATCGGTGTCACACCTCCAGCTCAGTCTTCCTAGATGTTTCACCTTTTCAGAGCAATCATTGGTATCTTAGCTTGCTGGTCTGAATGCCCTGGGTGGCAGCTGACACTTATGAACCAGGACCAGTTGTGCCTGGACACTCATTTTGTGAAGCTCTGCTGTGTTTTGTGGGCAGGTGAGGTTTGGGAGATGGTCCTGGGTGTCCAGTGACTCTGACCATGAGTGAATGAATTTGTGTCCCTCTTCAGGTCTCTGGAAATAAGGAATACTTGGAGTAGGTAAGTTAGTAATCTGCAGAAAGGGCTCCTGTGCCAAAAGCGTGTTGAAGTTTTTAAAATGTGGCTCTTGGCTGAACAGGAGATAACATCTGCCCACGAATCTTGCCTTCCTGATACTAGATAGGCCTTAAATGGTGTTGGCTAGTCATCTCCTTGGTCATTTAAATTCATAAAGCCATCCACATGGTGCCTTTCACCCCATCCTGTTCCCAGTTTACAAGTGGATGGCAGGCAGCGTGGATAATGTGTAAACTAATGATGACCTGTATCTAGTGCTGATTTGTCTTTGCTCTCTCTCCTTTCAGGATCCCTCGGTGACACAGCTCACAAACACTAGCCAAAGTGGCTTGGATGAATTCAATCCCTTTTCTGAGAGCTCCCAGCTGGTATGTGCCACACGTCTTGGCGTTAGGTATCTTGGTGATGGTTTTAGCAGTGTAGAAGGTCCCTTGATAGGTGAAGATTTAAAAGAAAGACATTTACAACTGATTTCCCCATGGAAAGGAGTTCATTGTGTGCGTGGTGAGCTGCAAACAACTGTTCCTCTGCTGGAGCACTAATAAAGTCCCAGCTGGAGCTCTCCACTCACACGGAACAGCTTGTCTGAAACTCTCTGCTGGCTCACAGTAAAGCTATATGAAGTGTGAAGGGGAAGATGTTTTGTGGCAGGACGCATGAATATTTATTTGGTCTCTGGGTTGGGAGCTGAACTGCTGCAGCAAGATCGTTGATGGATCACTGCAAGAACTTCATTCTTATTTCCTGGCTGCTGTCATGTTTGAGATGGGAAAAGGAGAACAGGAAACCAGGGTAAACCAATATTTGCAGTTCAAACAACTGATCAAAATCCCTTTTATTTTTCTTTCTCCTTTGCCTAATACCTGTAATCCTCAGGTGCTGCTCCCCCAGTGCATTAAGGAACTAACAATTTTTTTGAAAATGCAGAGTTGCTTCCCACTAGTGCTTTCTGGTTTAGAAGTGCTAAAACTCAAACTATTCTTTGCTGAAAGAAGCTCTATGTAATGTTTTTGCCTTTTTGCTTGCACTTTTCATGCAGAGGAATGCAGCACGGACGACGCCGGCCACACAACCCTCTGGCCACTCGCAGCCTGCTGTTCTGCAGACATCTGTGGAGCCCACTCCCCAGGTATGGCAAACCCTCAGTGCTGCCTGTGGGAATAGAAGGGGAATGGGATTCTCTGGGTTTGGATGTGGGAAACTGCAGGTGACTTTTTAAACTTCCATTTGTATGTCCCTTGCGAAGCAGATCTCTATAGGGAATACATACACACAATTCTTTTTATGCCTTTTGTTTGTCCCTCTGGTGACAGCTCACTTCACCTTGTGTCCTGTTTCCTTTGCCTTCCCTCTGCAAACACTGAAAATTTATCCTGTGAATGCTTTTAGCTCAGTTCTGGTGACTGGTCAGGCACTCTTGGTTCCAGGGGTGTAAATGCAGTCTAGCTATACGTTGCAGCTGCTGCTTAGACTGGCTAGCACATACCTGACTGCCAGGATGACCTCATCCAAAGAACAGAGAAACCAAGGCTGCTAAGAGAAAGGATCAGGTCTCAGAATAATGAACAGGTAAAGGAGATGCTTAAGAGTATCTGGTATGCAGCTGCCTTGCCTTTCCCTTGAAGCTTCTCTCCTAGTGGGAAGGGAATTGTCCAGGTAAACTCGGGAGTCTGGGTCACTGCTCTGTGTTATGAGCACTTAAGAGCAGTGAGGCTAACTGGAGGTTGAAGAAGCTGCAAGAAGAGCATAGCTTTGCTGAAAGGGAAGGGCACAGAGGATGGGTGACAGGCTGGATAGCCTCTTGAGAGCTCTTCCAGCCCTGTCTTCCCATGGGATAAGAAAGGAACATCTGTGTAGAGTTCTGCATTGATCTTGATTTTGTTCTCCAGTAGGTAAGGTAAAAAGCCTCAAGATGTTTCAGATAAGCCATGGGTGTTCAGATCTCAACTTGTCCTCAACTGCTGCTATTAAATTGCCTTTGCTTCCATTCCAGTTTGGCATCTGCTGTGTTTTCTGCTGGTGTTGTTGCCTCGGTTAGGGAAGGACTTACCATTCTCTCCCCCTACTTTAGGCTGTGGCTGCAGCAGCACAGGCTGGGCTTCTTCAGCAGCAGGCAGAATTAGAGAGGAAGGCAGCTGAGTTGGAGAAGAAGGAAAGGGAATTGCAGAGTAATGCAGCCAGTATTAATCGTGAGTACTGCTTCCTGCCCTGCCCACAATGAGTGCGACGCCCAGGGAAGCCTGGGTCGCTTGGTTTATCAAGGTTTAATGAAGGTTCAGTCTGTCCAAGCACGTGCAGCTTTTCACAAGCTGTGCATCTCTCCTCTAGTCCTCCACAGCTGTGGCATCCCTCTTGGGACTGTAGCTGTCATCTCATAGCTTACAAGGTGGGAAATGAGCTTGGAGATGAGATGCCTGAGACAGCTCTGGTGGGTTTCTGCCCTAAAATGTGCTCCCAGCATCTGCACTTAACCACCTTAAAGTTCTTCAAACACCAATTTTGTATCTGTTACCCGAGCTGTTGAGTGACGCTGCCACGTTAAGGCTTTTCACTGAGAGCAATAAAACTTTTTTTGCAGTCTCAAGGCTCTCTTAACCACAGCAAAAAAATGTTGTGCCCATATCTTGGTTTTAAATGGCTGAATCTGGACTTGTAGCACCAAGTGATGGTTGTGGTGGCCCTTTGGCCATTGCAGGGGAATTCTGCCTCTCACAGAGGAAAGCCCTCAAACCAGGCTGACCTCCCTCGTTGCTGCCTGCTCAAACCTAGTTACTTACTGAGACACAGCCTCTTCCACGGTTTTCCTGTCAGTATGTATGAATGCCTACTTGCAGATTATGGTGTGTGGATGAATCTTTGAATGAGAGGAGAGCAAATGAAAGACTGCTCCTTTCTCCTTTCCACAGCGAGGCAAAACAACTGGCCACCTCTTCCCAAGAAGTGTCCGATCAAGCCATGTTTTTATCAGGATTTTTCCGCGGACATCCCTGCTGACTACCAGCGGATATGCAAGATGCTGTACTACTTGTGGATGCGTAAGTCATAGCTTGAACTGCAGTAACAATTCTTTCAAAGAAGATTCTGTATCAAATGCTTTGACCTACGATAAATTCTGTAGGTGGTGTCTGCAAGGCTAAAATAACGTCTCCCTTCCTTTTTTATGAAGGCAAATGTGAAGGATTCCAAGTTTATGCCTTGAGAATAGCTCATTCATGACAGAATATTGATCGGTGTTTAATGGAGATGTTAACAACACTCCTGAGACTCTGAAAGACAGCAGATAGCGCAGTTCAGACATCAGGAGCAAAACAGTCTCAACCGTATTTGTCAGTTCTGGTGCTCCGAAAAAGATTTAAGATTTGGTTGTAAGCAACAGGATCAGATGAGGTTCTTAGGTTAAGCACTGTTGTCCTTTCAAGAGGAGAAGGGAAATTAGATGGCCCAAAGGCTCTCTAATTTCTGCAGAGCTCTGTGTGTCCAGTAAGAGATTAGGGATGCTTGGAGAGACTTTTCCAAGGATTTACTGATGTTTCTTCTCTCTCTCTCGTCCTGAACAGTGCATTCGATTACCCTGCTCCTCAACCTGCTTGCTTGCCTGGCATGGTTCACAGTCCAGACAGAAAGAGGAGTAGACTTTGGTCTCTCGATCCTGTGGTTTATTTTATTCACCCCTTGTGCCTTTCTCTGTTGGTACCGACCAATATACAAGGCTTTCAGGCAAGTACCATTTCCCTCTGTAACTGGGATATAGCTTTTAGTGGGAGGAGCTTTGGTTTTATCTGTTCTGATTGTATATTGCCTGCAGGATTTTTCCAGCTCTTTGCATCATTAGAAGTATGTGATGGAACTTGATTATGCTGGTCCTTTTTCATCTTGGAAGCCAATTGTAGGGTCCTACTTTTTATTAATTTCTGAGAAACTGTCTGGTACGTTAGTGTGTTGAGCACACTGCGCGTGTTAAAGAAGCTGCCTTCCTTGTGCCAGGCAGGGCGGTGGTTTTGCGATGTGTATTCACAACGTATTGTGAGTTGTGTTCCTGCTTAAGCTCTTCCTGAAGTCACCTCCCCTTAGCGGCTTTTCCCTGGAGCAAGGAGTTCACTGAAATTGTTTCCCTCCCCTTAGAGAAAGGAGTCTGTGCGGTTGTCATGTCCCTGGGTTTCACTCCTGCTGCCGTCTCTCCTGCAGGTCTGACAGCTCCTTCAGCTTCTTCGTCTTCTTTTTCATCTTCTTCTGCCAAATAGCAATCTACATCATCCAGGCTGTC